GTCTGCAGTATGTATGAATGAAAGTCGATAAGGAATCGATGGTCATTTCTTTCTGTTTCTTTCTACACTTATGTCTTGATATCTTATATATGGTTACGCTTACGATTAAATGGATCACTGATTTGACTTGCTAAAGGATTAATTTTGATATTGCTTATTGATTGATTACTTGTGTGTGTTAAAAGCACAAATTCACTCTATTTCTTTTCTACTATTCATTTACCAACGATGGAAATTGTACATCTTTCGGTGGTTGGCGGAGATATACCACATAGGGTATTTCCTATGCCATCAGATGGTAGCTGTATGTTTCATGCTGTAAGTTATGCATTGTACGGCTGTATAGTACGATTGTATGTACGATTTCTTGAAAAAAAGTATTGAAATCTCACCAAAAACATGCCTGTTAAAAAGGGGGCCAAGTTCCAATCGGCTAATTGTTTGCCTAAAAAAGGGGTGAAATCCAATCTAATGCCAAGTTTAGATGCACTTTGAAATCGATCATAATCATCTTCATCAACAGCATGATCCACTGGTAAACATTTGCCATTCCCAAGACTCGCCACCACACCCAGTCCTCTGCCTTCCACATCCAGCCACTACCCGCCACCTTATTCACGTCAACAGTCCATCTGACCGAAATTCACTTTACCATACACCCAACTTAAAATATGGTATAGTTGTGAAAATACGTAGGTGCTTGGTTAAAAAAAATATCTAAAATTACAATACTTCTAAATTTGAACTTGGCGGGTTAATTTAATTATGTAAATTATATAATATTTAAATTATATAAATATAAATAATTATATAACTAAATAATAAATTAATGATACAATTAATTAAGTGTTACGTACAGCACAAAAACCTGCTATAATATATATATATATATATATATATATATATATATATATATATATATATATATATTATAACATTTGAACGTTTTAGTACCTCATAACATATATATTTTTTTCAGTTGGCGACGAAATGCTATAAAGCAGTGGGTGATGAGGCTAGAACATTTTATCTAGAGAAAAGTTGGCTTCAGCCAAAGGGGACGGGAATATTGATGAAGGTATTTTTTGCATTTACACGTTTTGGGTACACCTCATGCATTTCTTTTTGTACCCGCTTATTGTATTAATAGTATTTATTTTATTAATTGTGATTATAATATAATGCATAGGTTTAAAGAGTCTCGAGGTTCGTGCACGTCTAGCAATATTTGTGGGGGACTTAACCACCGCCGAAGAATACTACGTACGTGGAGCCGCTCAGCCAGAATTGGCCATTAATATGTACAAGCAGGTCAATAGATGGGCAGATGCCATCGCCCTCGCTGGAAGAGTCGATAGACAAGCGGTGACATCACTCAGGCAGCAATACATGGACTATCTCACGTCAACAGGTGCAAAAATGATAACTGTTCAGTATATAATTTAAGATTGATAAAATTTTTACGCAAAAAAATATTAGAAAAATCTTATACATCATCTTCGTTAGAATAACACTAATAATCTATTTGCCCTAGTAAAGTATTATTTTGTTGGTACAGGTCGTCAGGTGACGTGCAAGGCGCGGTTCGTGTGTGGGTGAAGGGTGGTCGGCGAGACGAGCTGCCAGCGATCAACTAGTACAGGTGAAGGTTGCATTATCAGATAGACAAAAAAAATAGGGAAGGAAATGGATCCATTATCAGATAGCTAAATAAAAATGCTACTGAAGTATGAAGCCATTTGTAGGAATACCGCTTGTTGGTCTCACTAAGGATAGTCTTGTTGTAGTAATGAAAAGATCCTACTCAATTCGTTGTAGGTCTTAATACATACGTAAATGACCAATGAGCGTTTGTTTTTGATTTAGTATTATTGATTATACTATTGAAGAGATAATGTAAGTGTGAATGATGCAAGTTAAAGACGAGGGTTATGCATTTAACTAAAAAAGAATAGCAGAAGTATATTTTTTTAATATAACTGTCTCAAACATATTAATTTATTCTTATACTGTAACTCCTGTATATTACTATACCTTTTAAAAAGTTAAGATTCACTAATTAGAGACATAGATTATGAATTTTACAATTTGTTTCCTTTGTAGGAGGAATGGTGGGAAATGGCTGGTGAAATATCCGAGCGTAAAAGTGATATCAGAACTGCTGTTGATTACTATTCTAGAGGCAACAACTACGCAAGAGCCGTTCAACTAGCAAGAGAAGTTAGTACTATCTTTTTGAAACTTTTGTTTTTAATTTTTATTATATCATTTGTTGTTCTTCAGTCCAGGTTGGAAGGAGAGTGGGGCGCGTGGCTTGTATCATCGCGACAGGCGGGCGCCGCTGTACCTCATCTCATAGAGGCTGCTCGATCCGTTGATGCTCTCACTGCGGCTCTGAAGGCACATCATTATAAAAAAGCTCTTCAAATTGTACAGCTATTATTAATAATAACTGGTTACTGAGCTTTGCTGGGTATTAAGGAATTATTAGTATTTATTTTGTGTTTTTTTTTAAATTTCGTTTAGGCATTTTTAATTCAACACGATAAGAAGACAGAAAATAACCTTAACCTTAAAGCAAACATTCGTTGACTTCCTGGTAATCAACATCGCCATCTGCTGTTGTGTCGTTAAAGCAATTAGTAAAAGCAAGTAGCAAAAAGTAGTATTACTATTCGCCACTAGATGTCAGGGAGAGTCATATTTAAAACGACTAATTTTTGTTATTCTTTTTTACGTAAAATAACATTTTCTAAATGATTAATGATGATAATGATTCCTAGCTAGATCGATTTATCGCCATCGTTTGAGCCGATACCGAGATTCCCATAATATATAAATATATATACAAGAATTGCTCATTTAAATATATAAGATAACATATTTGCTATAGGTTTTGTTTATATATATATATATATATATTGTAAATCAATCCATTGATATCTTTATGTTATAGAAGATAAAGAATCTATTCGGGAGCAATGTGAACAGTTGGGGATCATTTTATATCTTCTCATATTAAATAATGAACAAAAGAAATATGTTGTTATTATTTTTTTATAATTGTTATTAACGTAATTCGATTTTGTTCATTCCGTATTAGTTATTGTGTATAGTTACAAAAATATAAATGTAAACATCCAATAAGGGTGTAAACGAATATGTTTTCAATTATTCATTTCCTCTTTTACACACGGATTTAACGTCACGATCAATTTATTAATTTTTTAGAATTCAAAGTTTGGGTCGATTTTTACTTTATTCTAGTAGGTTTCATATGTCAATTAATATCTTTTTTGCAAACATTTACAGGAATGGGATACAGCGGAACGAGTTCTCACATCCTGTGGTATGGCGGAGAAATGTGTACGAGCGTACAACGCCGCGGGCAAAGTGTCGGAAGGTCTACGTGTTGCCGCTACACATCTGGCAGAAGAAGACACGAGAGATATTTACTGAGCACTCGCTCAACAATTACGACAGGAAGGGCACTTTAGAAAGACTGAACTCATTTATATAGGACTAGGAGATACAGGTGAAGCTATATCTATGTATAAGGTAATACTCTAAAATATTGAAATATACATTGTTTAATTATATGCATAGAACAAAGATATGTTTTTTTTAAATCGCTGTTAAACATCGTTCAGGAAGCGTGTCAGTATGAGTCGATGCTGCGGTTGGTGGCGGCCGGCGACCTCCGGGCCGCGGGGGAGCTGAGACCTACTCCATACAAGCCGGTGAGCCCACTAGGGAAAACGATGCGGCTATTGATATGAAAACAAACTTCTTAGTGTTCCATAGATTCGCTGTGTGGGCATTTGAAGGATGTATATACGGAGTCCCAAAGTGTTATCTTCATATATATAAGCTTAACAAGTACAAGTATTACTGCTTAATAAAAATCAAAGACAATACAATACATCCACAATAACTATAATTCATTTCAATTCAACAATAATAATTTTCTTTATGATAAATGCGGTTTACATAAATATTATAAATGAAAATAGTTCAAGGTAAATCTATTATAACAAAAACTTTTAGCCCCCTCTAGTGGCATAACAGATACTATTCTTTTAAAAACTAATTATTCTAGAGAAAAAGGTATGATAAGCATAATTATTACATACAGAAATAAAACATTTAAGATGAGCAATGTTTTATCAGATTATAAATAACAATAAAGTAATTGCATCGTATCAGAGAAGTATATCAAATAGATTGGATTAAATAAAATATTATGATCCAAAAGAACTTATATATCAAAGTTGTACAGTAACTGTTAAAGATATTGTTTGACAAGTGTAAATTCAATATAAAATAACTAAGTAGCAGACAAGTTGGAGATGTGCTGCTAGGCCGGCTGTGTTCATTGTTAGTTTTCATCTAACACTTGATGATCAGCCGTCATCTCCTGATGGATGAATCTCAAGTACAGTCCAACAACACCATCTGTAATACATAATACAATATTGTTCTTATATAAAGACATACAAAGACACTTACTTCAATTATTGTCAGTTTAAAATAAATTATAAAATGTTTAAAAAAAATTACAAAAACACTCGCTTATAAAATACCAAACTAAAAAGTAGCATATTTGTAATTATTATGCATTCAGTTGAATATAAATTAATGATTAACAAAATATAAGTGTTTTTATTTTATTAATCATTTATTTATTTTCAACTCATTAATTCTGCTAACTACAGATGGTTTTGTTTTGTAAACCATTATTAATAGCATGATGACTGTTAGTGATTGCAATTATTTATAATATTAGTACGCATTTTAGTTCCGAAAATTGTAAAGATAATAGTTAAAATAAAAAAAAGGAAGCCATCAAAACGATAACGTTAAAAAAGCCTGCGCCCAATATATGTAACGCTTAGGAAATAATTCAAAATTCCTACTACGTACTACACAATAAAATAAACATACACAATAAACATACACAATACACAATAAAATAAAATAAAATAAATAAATAGTTGAAGTTGTGGCTCGGGCTCGCTCTAACGGCTGATTCATCGGCGTTATTTAGGGGAAGCAATAGTTTTGGGATGAGTCTAAAAAGGCCATCGGAGCTCTATAAACACCTAAGAGTTTCCAAGAGATATATCCTGGGGAAATCCCATGATGACATAGTGACATCGCTCCCAAAAGATGAAGATGCCCCCGAGCTAGAGTCACGACTTCAATTCCATAAGCAATTTATGATAGGAGCGCAAAGTAACAGAGCGGGGTTAGGATCAAATAGGAAAGTCCAAGATGCGGATATATTGAAGTCTTTTATTCGGCAAGACGAGAATGATAAATATAAGATCCATGCAATGAATTTAGAAATGCAGAACGAGTGGTTAGACATAGGAGATTTTTGCATCCCATTAGCATTAAAATGGCGCACTTTAATTTATGATTGGTCGCCAGCGTTGCTAAAATTCTATCTCAATGCGTTCCAGATGACTCTCCCAGATCAGAGTAATTTAGTAAGATGGGGTAAAAGTACCGAAAAAACTTGCTATATCTGTGGAAAGGCAGTTGGAACTGCTAAGCATCTGCTGGTGGGATGTAAGGTACTCCTGGACAGCGGTCAATACTCGCGTCGTCACGATAGGGTTCTAGAAGTCATACGTGAAGCGGTTAGTCTTTCGGTAGCCAGAGCGCAAAAGGAAATAACCACAAACGAACGATCAGTAGGTTTTTTGTGAGAGAAGGCACTAGGGCTACAAAATCAAACGTCAAGCCTTACTCCATCCTTAAAGCGGCGTCGGATTGGACTATAATGATGGACACGTATGAAAAACAATATAAAATCCCCGAGGATATTTGTGCGTCGGCCTCCAGACCGGATATATTTTTGTTTTCGCGAATTTTAAAGCGCGTAGTGATGATAGAGCTTACGGTCCCTTGGGAAACCAACATCCCCAAAGACCATACCATCAAGGTCAACAAATATTACGAGCTCACAAACGAACTCACTCGAAATAGGTTCGTAGTAGATTTGTACGCGGTAGAGGTGGGAGCGAGAGGTATAACAGCGAAATCTCTCTACAACCTACTAAAGGACTTGGGCTTGTCCAGAACTCACATTAATGCATTCTTGGAACGTATATCGAAGGCAGCCCTAGTAGGTTCTTTTCAAATTTGGTTAGGTAGGGAGAGGAGCTTGGACAGTGGAGGTGAGCGTATAACGCGCGTTAGTTAAGGGGCCCCTTAAACCTACACTTGGGTCGCAAGTCCCAGGCACTGTTGAAGCTCCTCTCCCTGCAACGCGATGGACCCGGCACCCGCACGGTGAATCCATGGAATGCTTAGTAGTTTCGTCTTATATCAAACAAAACTAAAAACGTTACTCAATAAGTATAAGAACTTATAATGTAAGTAATGCCAATATAATATAAAATATAATAATTAGATATATGTAAAAAAACACCATGAAGCATCAGCATTAGAAAAAGACATCCATTACGAGGAACTAGGAAGACCGCGGCCGGCTGGCAGGACATGAGGGAGTGAAATGAATGTTTTATAAATATTGATATAGTTAGTTATGTATAATCTATTCTAATATTATAAAGCTGAAGAGTTTGTTTGTTTATTTGTTTGTTTGAAAGCGCTAATCTCCGAAACTACTGGTTCGAATTGAATAATTCTTTTTCTGTTGGATAGTCCAGTTATCGAGGAAGGCTTTGGGCTATATAACATCACGCTACGACCAATAGGAGCTAAGATATAGTGGTAAATGTGTAAAAAACGGGAGAAATTATTTCATCTTTGAAGCCTTCCGTTGCGTGCGCCGTGAAAAACGGTTCAAGATACACAAAAAAAAATATGTATTAAAGAATAATAGCCCTTTTAATGATCTAAAAAACAGTACGCGACAGTATATGTCTGTCTTTTAAGATTAACTCACAAAAACCGTTTTTATGGTACCTAATTTGGTCGAAATATTTGTTTAAGTTGTATCAACATAATAATATTAATCTTTATTCAAATAAACATGTTGTTGGTTAAGAGTACTTCATTGTGAATAAAAAAAAAGAGGTTTTATTCTGAAAATTCTACGGGAACTCGACCATTCCGAAAACCCCGCAAGAACGGGAACTATGTGGGAAGGACCAAAAATCTGCCGGAAGTCACTATTTCACGCAGACGAAGTCGCGGCAAAAGCTAGTTATGTATACAGTAGTATCTCTAACGACGAGACTAATAGTTGTCATAAGGGATTTCAGATAATCAATTAAATGATGAGAAGACATTTTTGAACATCTTGGGTTTAAACCAGGATTATTGTTTATTAAAAGACAAATAATATACATATTTGAAGAAAATATGAAATAAATCTCGATACTTGCAAATCCAGTGAATCTGTGGTTTAAATTTATATTGTATTTAAAATGCTTTATGCTGTTTTATAATAGTTAATATAGCAATCATAGTTAATATTAAGCTTAGTTTTATGCCCGTAACTTACCTTTAGGAAATAATTGAGAGGAATTAGGAGAACTCCTTTGTAGCTGAACTTGATTCATATTTAAACCCAAGTTGTGACTACAAGTTGCATCATTGTCTTCTTTTTGTGTATCAACACATTTTTCAGTTTCAACAGAATGTGATGAGTGTACAGTCTCAAATGCTGATGCTGCTAAAATAAAATATTTTTTTAATACAAATAAATATATTAAAAGAAAAGTTAAATGAAAAATCTTAAAATAGAATGATAATATATTGTCTTTATTGTATTTTCCTTCCTCGTTTCTTTTAGAGTTTCTGATTGAATGTAAATAGACTTGTAATTTTTACTGAATTAAACACTGCCATTCTTATATTACATAAAAAACTATAAACAACTTTTTTTGGTTTGTAGTTATCCAGTGAAATTATAATCTCTACATATTAAGAACACTTTGTTTTTGTTTTACCTATGTAAAGAAGTGACACAAGTAGTTATTTTGCGATACTGTTTGTAGGAACTTTCCGTTATTTAGATAAAAAAGGTAATAAAGACCGCACATTATAAATCCATCAAACCACATGTAAGTATATAAAAATGTTAAGATGACTTGTATACCTATTTCATTATATTCAATTAAATCTAATATATTTGTTTTTGATTTTTAATTATGAGTATCAATTTCTAAAGTAAAATAATAATAATGTAAAATATTATCCTTAGTTTATAAAATATAATTGATTATTTATAGTTATTTTATATTAGTAGTATGTATTGTGTGCCTATAACTACTTGGGAAGTTGCTTACTTTAGATACTTACTTAAATATAGAGTTGGTACAACATTTTGAGTGAGTCATTTACTTAAAGAACGGTAAAACTGTTCAAAATGACGATCACATATTCTTATGTTGTTATGAATGTAAGAATCTTCCTTTTGTTTCATGTCTTCATTTAAAATATTTTCCATTGAATGAATTTCTCCAAATTTGGGTATTCAGGTTTAGGAAATTGATGAAAAGCACCTGAAATGTTTTTTATTAGAAGTCAATAAACTGTTACGATTGAAATTGATGTAACAAGAGTAGTAATTGATTGTATATATGACAAATAATAATTTTATAGATTTTACTAAATAAGTATCGTACCTTTAGGAGCACAACGAAAATAACACTTATTAATAACACTTTTCGTGGCATTTTTTTCAACTTATCGATAATCCAAATTCGTAGTTTGCAATCAAAATCCAATTGAGAAAAGCCAGGATCGATCGTCAAAAGCGTAGAAATAGGAGTCAATGATATATTAAGCCGGGTCAAATGTTTGAAAAAGAACGTACAGCACAAGAAGAACAGTAAACAACGGCAAAGGAACAAATGAAATTGAAAATTTGAGAGCTACTTAAGAATTAAGATATTATCTGTGAAGATTGAAGTTATAAAGGAAAATAGTGTCAAAGTTGTTTTACCTTGTTGGTTAGATGGCAGCATTTTCTAAACATAATTTTCTTACACGGTAATTATATGACAGTTTCACCCAGTGTTGCCAACCGTACGATTTAAATCGTATTTATACGACCTTTTTGACTATTGTACGATGTAGGATCGAGTTATCGAAATCGTACGCAAAATATACGATTTTTTAAATGAAGTCTTAGGAAAAAATAAATTTCCAATAAAACTATAAGGAATGTGTTTTTTTTTTTTTTTTTATGGGAAAAGGGGGCAACTGAGCAGACGGCCTACTTGATGGTAGGTAGTTACCGTCGCCCATGGACATCCGCAACGTAGATTTGCGGATGTGTTGCCGCCCTTGATTGGGGAAAAGGAATAGGAAAAGGTGGGAAAGGAAGGGAAAGGAAAGGTTGGGAAAAGGGAAAGGGCAACCGGCTCTCTCACTCACCGGACGAAACGCAGCCTTTGAAGACTATTTTACGCCGATTTTCTGTGAGAGGGTGGTACTTCCCCGGTCGAGCCAGCCCATGTTCGAGCTGTAGTAAATTGTATTGATTGTATATCAAAATGTGTACTAGTGTAGTTTATGTTAACTGTATCTGTGAATGCAACTATGTAATTGTCTATGAAATGAATACAAGTCAGTCTGTCATTTCCGACGCACTCGGTTGTTTCATTTAAGAGGTTATGTGCCCAGACTTTTATTTTGAGCGGCCAATTGTGAAAGTAATGTGTTACAGTTCGATCGTTATCGATATTTCCAAATTGGTTCGGCCAGTTTCCGCGTAAAAACTGTACTGTAAGTGTATTGTGCTACGTGGGTGCCGGTGCTCGGTTCGTTCGCTTTGTCGTAATGGCGGCCAATTACATTATAAACGTGCCGAAGTTGCGTGGTCGTGAGAACTATGACGAATGGGTGTTCGCGGCAGAAAACTTTTTAATACTCGAAGGGATGATGAAGTGTATCAAGACCGAACGAGATGAAAGTGGTACAGAAGTTGTTGTATCAGCTGCAGACGACGCGAAGACAAAGGCGAAGCTTGTACTCACTATAGACTCATCGTTATATGTTCATATCAAGACCGTTAAAACTACAAAGGAGCTGTGGGAAAAACTCAAGTCGCTCTTCGACGATTCTGGGTTTACTAGAAGGATCAGTCTTTTACGAAATTTGATATCTATTCGATTGGAGAATTGCAGTTCCATGACCTCTTATGTAACGCAAATAATAGAGACGGGTCAGAAACTATGTGGAACAGGATTTGCAATAAACGACGAATGGATTGGTTCGCTGCTACTAGCTGGATTACCAGAGAAGTTCTCTCCCATGATTATGGCGATAGAGCATTCGGACATTCAAGTAACAACGGACGCCATTAAAAGCAAGCTTCTAGACATGGAAACCGGAAGTATAGACAATGTGGATGGCGCGCTCGCAGTGTCAAGGAAATACAAACAGAACAAGTCGAAAACAAGTGCGTCTATGAGTGGCAGCACTGGCAAAGATGGCGTCAAATATCAAAATGAAAACGTCAACTCAAAAACTGTCAGTGTCAGATGCTATCGATGTAAACAAACTGGACATTATCGATCACAGTGCCCGAATAATCCCAAGTTCAACAAAAATGCAGACCGTAAGCAGACTAACGCGTTCTCAGCTGTATTCTTAAGCGGCAGTTTCAACAAAACGGACTGGTATATTGATTCCGGTGCTAGTGTGCATTTAACTGCCAATGTAGATTGGATCACTAGTAGATATCGGAAAGTTCAACAAGAAATAGTGGTTGCAAATCAAGAAACTGTTTCCGTTACGTGTGCTGGCGATGTTAAGATTGTAACCTCAATTAAAGGCAGTGAATTTGAAATAAACATTGAAGATGTTTACTGTGTACCAAACTTGACAACTAACCTCATATCAGTAAGCAGATTGATTCAAAATGGCAACAAGGTGCATTTTACGGACGACAGTTGTCATATTTACAATAGAAAACGTGAACTGGTTGCTACTGCTTCGTTGACAAATGGTGTTTATAAACTGAATCTAAAAGAATGTTTGGTTGCTGCAGTGACTACTTCGGATCTTACTTGGCATCGCAGACTAGGCCACCTGAACAGTGATAGTTTAAGGAAAACCAAAAATGCAGTTGAAGGAATGAATTATGATGAAAATTTCACTATAAGTAAATCAACCTGTAAGATATGCTGTGAAGGTAAGCAGTGCAGATTGCCTTTTACAAGTAGTAACACAAGGAGTACAGAATTGCTAAATGTTGTACATAGTGACCTTTGTGGGCCAATGGAGGCAACTTCACTGGGAGGTGCATCCTACTTTCTATTGTTTGTCGATGACTTCAGCCGGATGACCTTCATTTACTTTCTAAAACATAAGAATGAAGCGTTGAAATACTTTAAGGAATTCAAGGCATTGGCAGAAAACCAAACTAATAGAAAAGTGAAAACCTTCAGAACTGACAATGGGAAGGAATTTTGTAATACAGTATTTGATGATTACTTGAAGAAATTTGGAATAGTGCACCAAAAATCCAACCCTTATACACCTCAACAAAATGGATTATGTGAAAGGATGAATAGAACGGTTATTGAAAAGGCTAAGTGCATGCTTTATGACGCTGATCTGGACAAGAAGTTCTGGGCGGAGGCTTGCAATACGGCTGTATACTTACATAACCGGATTGTTTCTTCAATTTTAGATGGCAAAACACCATATGAATTATGGACAGGTGTTAAGCCAGATCTGAGCAACATAAGGATTTTTGGATCCCCTATCATGGTTCATGTCAACAAAGAGAAAAGGTCCAAATGGGACAGAAAGTCCATTGAAAGTATACTACTTGGATATCCTGACAATATTAAAGGCTACAGATTGTATGATCCAAAAGAGAAAAGAATTTTCACAAGTAGAGATGTAATTATCATGGAGAAACACTTGGTTATGATGGATATTACGTCTGAAGAGAATAAAAATGAGTCTGAGATGGATAAAACATCAGGAGACACCCAGATTCTGCAGGATTCAGTGGGGGACTCAGATTGTACATTGACAGAAGGAGCAAAGGAGGATACATCTACAGAGTTCTCAGATTATGTACCAAGTGATTATGAAGATTGTGTAGACACACAGAGCAGTAATTATAAGCCTGATAGACCTAGAGAACGTCGTGCACCAGACAGATTTGGTTTTGGTGGTCTTTGCTACACAGAAATGGATACTGGGACAGGTCTCACCCTCAAACAAGCATTGAAAGGGCCTGAGAGAGACCAGTGGCTGCAGGCAGTACAGGAGGAGCTGGAGTGCTTCGAGCAAAGTGGTGCCTGGGAGGTAGTCAATGTTCCTGATAACTCTACTATTGTGCAGTGTAAATGGGTCCTTAAGAAAAAGCTTGAGTGTAGTGATAAAGTGCGTTACCGTGCAAGGTTAGTGGCTAAAGGGTTTACCCAGCAACCTGGTGTTGACTATACTGAGACTTTCTCACCTGTAGTAAGATACAGTTCTCTCAGATTATTGTTTGCTATTTCTGTAAAACTTGGACTTGACATAACACATTTAGATGTATGTACTGCATTCTTGAATGGTGATTTAAATGAAAATATTTATATGCAAATGCCTGAAGGGTTTAACTGCCCAGATTCAGACAAAGTTTTGAAATTGAAAAAGGCTATTTATGGATTGAAGCAATCATCAAGAATGTGGTATAATAAAGTAGATATGTGCTTAACTGAAAATAGTTATTCAAAGTCGAAATATGAATCTTGTTTGTATACTAAAAAAGATGGTAGAAATATGACTATAATTGCATTATATGTAGATGATTTTTTTGTGTTTTCAAATAGTAGTGATGAAACGAATAATTTAAAGTATATTTTGGAATCTCAGTTTAAAATTAAAGACCTGGGTCAAATTAGACAGTGTCTTGGTATGTCAGTTCATTATGATAAATGTAATAAGATTTTAACTTTAGATCAATGTGATTATATTGAGCAGTTGTTACAAAAATTCCATATGGTTGACTGTAAACCAGTAGATACACCAATGGAATGTGGATTAAAATTAACAAAAGATATAAGTTGTGATAAAAGTTTGCCTTATCAGCAACTAATTGGATGTTTAATATATCTTGCCATACTTACCCGACCCGATATAGCTTTTCCTGTTGTGTATTTAAGTCAGTTCAACAATTGTTACAATAAAGAGCACTGGGCTCATGCTAAACGTATACTGAGATATCTTAAGGGAACTAAAGATTATTGTATTAAGTATAATGGCATGGATGACAACAAGATATTGGGCTATGTGGATGCAGATTGGGGTAGTGATATCACAGATAGGAGATCCTATACAGGCTATTGTTTTACTCTATCTAGTGGTTTGATATCTTGGGGAAGTAAAAAGCAAAAGAATGTAACTTTATCTAGTACCGAAGCAGAGTATGTTGGCATATCTGAATGTTGTAAGGAGGCAATTTACCTTAGGAATTTGCAAAATGAAATCATAGGTCTAATGCAATGTATTGTAATTTTTAATGATAATCAGAGTGCACACAAGTTGTTATATAATAATGTATTTCACAATAGAACAAAGCACATAGACATAAGGTTCCACTTTGGTAGAGAATGTATTAAAAATAATATAATTAAAATTGAGTATCTTCAGACAGATCTAATGCCAGCTGACATACTCACAAAGTCTTTAAATTCTGTAAAACATTATAAATTTCTAGAATTGTTGGGAGTTCGACAAAAGTAAAAATTATTATTTCATTTTAATATAGTGGGGGTATTGATTGTATATCAAAATGTGTACTAGTGTAGTTTATGTTAACTGTATCTGTGAATGCAACTATGTAATTGTCTATGAAATGAATACAAGTCAGTCTGTCATTTCCAACGCACTCGGTTGTTTCATTTAAGAAATTGACTACAGCTAGGCTCTACCACCTTAGAAAACTAAACTTTAGTACTATAACTATAACTAACTATATTTAGTACTATACTATAACTATAAGGAATATGTAAACCTAAACTGTATTCCAGAAACGGTAAATAAGAATTTGTTAGCTGCACAACATAATAAAGTATCGTGTATAAACTTCAAGCCATGTGACGATATGCTCAGCAAATTAAATTTAAGTATGTATGTATGTACAAAAAATATAATGCTTTTCAAGCATCTGCTGTGCCTAATAATTCAGATAGTGACTAAAGCAATTTTTTTTTCTGTTTTCAAAATATATGTAATTAATGAATATCTTAATTCCACATATTAATTGATGATTAATGTTAATTGAAAATTAGAATCAAATTCCATTAATATTTGATATACTTACGCAGTTTTATTGAAATTTCATCGCGCACGCTTATTTTCTTGAATTTCAAGACCAAAATACAATTTTTTTTAGTCTATAGTACGATCCTCTAAAAAATAAAGTTGGCAACACTGGTTTCATCACCATTCCCCAAGATTCTTTGTGTGGCCAACCTGACGACTCGTTTATTGTTAGTTTTTAAATTTTATTAATTACCTCTTATGATTTTACTATTAATTGTTTTCAAAATTCATTTCTCATGTCTCTCCAGTCCTTCCAATCCGGCTCCCTCTGGTGCCTCTGGTGGCAGTCGGCCGCGGCCTTCCTTATGATGGATGTGTTTTACGTCGGTTATCTTCATGGTGCGTGTTTTTTTTTCACATAGGTACTAATAAATGTCACTTTTTATATTATTGACATAACGTTCAAGTGAAATTGTTTATTAAGTAACATTTTTAGTTTTGGTTAATATTAGTGTTTATTATCGGTAGTGATAAGAGTACTAGTTTATTTTCATAGTATATTTTGAATTATTCTCTAAGCATAATATTGCCCGCAGGGTTTTTCAACGTTATATCGTTTCAATGGCCTTCTTTATTATTATTTATTATGTTTTTCACTTTTTAAAATGCGACTTCTTGTAAGTCAAATATTTAAGTAAGAAATCTATTGTCATAATAAAAACTAGAATCATTCGTTACGTTACAGGACTCGTAAGAATATATAATTCAAGATGAGGGTCGAAGCTGTTGGTGGAGCGTCTGTTAGGACGTGGTCTGCGGACGAGAGGAACCCTTCTATGAAGAGAAGTGTATGTAGCTGATGTACGATAGTAGTGTGACGGTAAGGTCTGTTGGTTACTTTGTTTTGAGTTATATTGTACATTTTAATGTTAATTTCTCCATAATGTATCTCATATATTGAGTAAACCGTTATCGAAACATTCATTTTATAATTCCTCATGTGCTGTTGATATTATACATATATAATGAAATCCATATGCCGTCTTTCTAGAATAATCGATTATTATTTAAATGTGTTAATAGTGTTATACTTTTTAAGTAAGATCAATTTATGTGTTTAGTTTAAGTATAAACATTTATAATTTTTGTATGAATCCTATATATCAAAGAGAATAATAATAATAATTCCATACATTTTACATTATGTTATTAATGATGATATTAACTAGACTGATATATAAAGAATTGATTTATTTGAATAATAAACCTTCTTAGTGATATGAAGTGTAATTTATTTGTGGATATTTTAAAAATAATATAAAATATTATATTTTTATTTTCAAACAATCCTTGATGTAACTGTCTCTGTATGTCTTTATATATGGACAATATTGTTTGTGAACAGTATTAATATATTGTATTATGTATTACAGATGGTTTTGTTGGACTGTACTTGAGATTCATCCATCAGGAGATGACGGCTGATCATCAAGTGTTAGATGAAAACTAACAATGAACACAGCCGGCCTAGCAGCACATCTCCAACTTGTCTGCTACTTAGTTATTTTATATTGAATTTACACTTGTCAAACAATATCTTTAACAGTTACTGTACAACTTTGATATATAAGTTCTTTTGGATCATAATATTTTATTTAATCCAATCTATTTGATATACTTCTCTGATACGATGCAATTACTTTATTGTTATTTATAATCTGATAAAACATTGCTCATCTTAAATGTTTTATTTCTGTATGTAATAATTATGCTTATCATACCTTTTTCTCTAGAATAATTAGTTTTTAAAAGAATAGTATCTGTTATGCCACTAGAGGGGGCTAAAAGTTTTTGTTATAATAGATTTACCTTGAACTGTTTTCATTTATAATATTTATATAAACCACATTTATCATAAAGAAAATTATTATTGTTGAATTGAGATGAATTACAGTTATTGTGGATGTATTGTATTGTCTTTGATTTTGATTAAGCAGTAATACTTGTACTTGTTAAGCTTATACAGGGTGACTGGTGAATTACTTGCTCTCGCGTCATATGATCAAATCCGACATGAAATGGTACAAAATCAGTTAAAAGTGCTTCTAGGCCCATTTTTTTAATATATAAAAATGGCACCCCGATATACATATTAGGTTAGACAAATAATAAAATCATCAAGAAATGTGTTGCAAGCGTTCAGATACTTGGCGGAACAACGTGTGTCGGGTTCGCTAGTATTACATAAAAACGACAGGTTTCTAACAGATTATGGCTATAATGCTTTGCTTGAGAAGCTTAACTCTAGCAATATCAATCATTTTTTATGTTTCCTGGCACTTTCAGAAAAAAATAAAGTACCAAAATGATGAATCTTGAAACTTGAATAACTTCTATATCTTGGATCCTACAACTTTTGCGCCATATTAACTATTGTTCCAAATGGTTAGTTCTACAAATATGTACCATTTTTTTTTGTTGGCCGGCACTTTCAAAACAGGCCCAAAAATGTATGAAGCCTGAATGATCTCCTTTGGGTCACGGTAGCTTTGGCAGGTAACACGTTCTAAAGGTGTATAAAATTTTCTTTCACTTTCCTCTTAGTACAAAATTCAGTTTTGATATATTTTCATCGTAATAATATTAGAAATCACGCTGTAAATTGCCCGGCACTTAGTAAGGTGGGAAACCCAGCCAGGCACCCCTAAATTATAAGTAATTTTATTTGTACTTTCGTTATAGTACATATATAAGCTGATTTTTATGTATGTTACTGAGGAAAGTATTAAATTATATTTACTCAGTAGCCAGGCAGTTTCGATGGTGCTTTTACCTGGCCAGGCACACTGAAAGTCTTCCGTAAGTGCGAGAGGAAGGAACATATCCTCGATGAAGTTACGAATAGATATGTTCATGTTTACATTTTATAGGTATTTAGTTACTTAGAAGACAAATTTAGTTACTTAAGACAAATTTTTCTCGTTAAATGCTTTTTCAAATGTAAACGTACAGACGGTAGGCTTATTGTATGTATATTGTAAATTGAGTTCAGTCGTATATATGTATAAATAGAAACACAACAAAATAAAATATTTCATTGTTTGTTGAAACAAATCAGTTAATAATGACAAAAAATGGAATTACTAATATAAATGTCCTGATTTTTTTTTTGATTTTATCTCGAGGAAGTCTCAAGCTTTTAAAACAGAAATCACAGTAATAATACTTAATACAAAGAGGAATTCAAATATTTCTATTATTAAAACACAACTTTAACCTAAATTAGAAAAACAGTTTATAGAAATCATTACATACATACATTACATTACAGTGTTGTACAAAAGCTCGATATACAGTCTGTTCACATCATACGAGTCAACTTAACTAATATCTCTTCCCTTTAACAAATGCAGAGCACCTTTTCCCTCCCCGATCACTAAAGGCGGGCTCCTCAATACTCGTTAGTCATGAGCAATATCCTGATACCGAAAACACCAACACATCTAGAGCTATTCAAGGAAGATACTTCATGGAGCTCCTACTATGTATATCGTCTCACAACTTTAAGAAGCGGCCAAAGCCTTTAGTTAATAGTTATGCTTATGGAAGATAAAAGAAGTATCTTCATCATCAGAAATGATGTTTAGTGTCAGCGAAAGATGCAAATAATCAGTTTAACTTATATTTTTATTAAAGTTAACATTTAAAAAAAAACTATTTTCATCATAATTTCCTCCTCTAAAACATTGATTATATTAGCACATTAAGTTACAGCGGTCCGAACACAACTAATATCTATAATATATTGTGTACCTTGAAACTATTACGGTCAGTTCATCAGCGGTTTATGAAAGTTATTTAAATCGGAATATCCAAACTAATGCAAATTCTTATTTGAAAAAAAAAAACAAACAGAAAAACAAAATAACTTATTCGTGTGTACATAACCTGCTAATTATAACTATCATAATACTTTTAATTAAAAGCAGTTCCTTTCGTCTTTCAACACTAACTTGTAATAAATAGTAATGTATTTCTATATGAAATTGTAAAAGTAAAGTAAAAGTCAAGTCACTAGTCCATGAGGAGTAGGAATCATTGTTAGATATAGGTCCAAGTGACATCTAAAATTAATTTTATTATTTACTAGCTTTCCGCCCGCAGCTTCGCCGCGTGGAGTTCGGTTATATCGCGTTTCCAAGAGAACCTTTCAAAAGTCTGGGATAAAAACTATCCTATGTTCTTTCTCAAGGTCAACTCTATCTCTGTACCGAATTTCATTAAAATCAGTTCAGTGGTTTAGGCGTGAAAGCGTAGCAGACAGACAGACAGACAGAGTTACTTTCGCATTTATAATATTAGTAGGGATCAAACAAATAACGTCTTTCCGTTCAAAGTTCTGTTTATTATAAATCATATTATTTAGCTTTCACAATATCTTTATAATACTTGGCGGAGGCAGTCGGGCGGCGGGTGCGGGCTGGGTCGTTGAAGTCCACCTCGTATAAACCGAATTTAGAACTGAAAAGATTATTATTATTATCAGATTATGAACAGAAGAAAATCTAAAAACATTTTGAAGTCAATATGTCTTTACCGATAGCCATCGCTCCATTCAAAGTTGTCCAACATTGACCAAGCAGTGTACGCCACGACATTGGCCTTATCTTCTTCAACCGCGAGGAGAACCTGGTGGAAGATATTAGTTCAAATAATAACATATTTTTTTTATTTGTCCGTCTGGAATGTAACTTTATTAATATTAATCACCTGTTCCAAATGCTTCTTATGGTAATCTATACGATCTTGATCATCTAAATCCTCGCCGCTGGTTGCGAAACCATTCTCTGTTATGAAGATCTCCATGTTTCCATACTGTTTCTTCAACCAAGATATGAGCTTGCTATTGCTATTTATATGGCTTTCTTATAACTTTCATTATAATTATTAATAGAAATTCCTAGTTTTGTTATTATTTTTCTCACCTCTTATTAGTTTTTTTCTTCTTTTGTGAATTCTGGTAATCTGTATTTCGGGAATCCCTGTTGTTTACTCTTGTTGTATATAAATAAAGCACTTCAAATTAATTTAACTAGTTTTATTCTTATTCAGAAAAGGAATTACAAATTAGAATTAACACGTTGCACAGCCGGTGAGAGAGAGAGCGCCTACGTCAGTTCAAAAACGGTCGTTATTTTATTGATGCGTTCACACCAACACCCTCTCCTGAACGCAAACCCATTCCAGCCGTCAGAAGGGAGAGCTTCGGTCGATGCAGCCCCTTTGTTAGCGCATCCGCCAACATGAACTCGGTGCTTATGTATTCCACATGTATCTCCTGAGCAGCGACCTTTTCTTTAACAAAATTATAACGGACGTCTATGTGTTTGCTGCGGGCGTGGTAAACACATGAACCTGAAAGACTAATAGCGCTTCTATTATCACAGTATATAGTCATTGGTGCAACTGAATGCCAGATGTCTTTCGTAAGTTGCCTCAGCCAGATTGCTTCTTGAATATTGGACGCCAGAGACATATACTCTGCTTCAGTGCTGGAGAGTGCTACTGTGGCTTGTTTTTTAGAATTCCAACTAATACAGCCACCCTGAAATATAAACAAATAGCCAGTGCAAGATCTTCGATCTATGGTGTCGCTGGCCCAATCTGCATCACAATAACCAATTATGTTTTTATCATCCTTTTTGAATGTAAGTTTTAAATTAATGGTCCCTTTCAAGTAACGAAATATTCTCTTGACAGCAATCCAATGTTGCATAGTTGGATTGTTATTAAATCTACTAACTGTATTAACAGCAAAGGCTATGTCAGGCCGTGTACCTTGAGATAAATACAACAGACATCCCACAGCCTCTTGATAAGGTACATTTTTCAATACTTCAGTTTCATTTTCAGCCTTTTTTAATTGAGTCCCGGCTTCAAAAGGAGTTGGTACAGGCTTACAATCATACATTTTGAATCTATGTAAAATCTTCTCAATGTACAATATTTGATCCAGAGATATTTCCTCAAAATTAGTGCTTTGTGTTATTTTAAGACCAATACATTGTCTGGCTGTGCCAAGGTCCTTCATTTTGAAATTTTCCTGTAGTTTTTCTTTTACAAAGGATGCTGTGTTTTCATTATTGAACATATAAAGCAAATCGTCGACATATACTGCTATGAATAATATATCATATTCATTTAGAATTCTATAATAAACGCAAGGATCTATTGTTGAGCGCTTCAATCCAATGTCAATAAGAGCAGCATTAAGTTTCTTATTCCATTGCCGGCTGGCTTGTTTCAAGCCATACAATGCTTTGTTAAGCCGACATACTTTATTTTGGATTTCATAACATGGTGGTAGTGACATATAAATTTCTTCATCTACAACTCCTTGCAAAAATGCTGAGATAGCATCCATTTGATGAATTTTTAGTTTGTACTTAGCTGCTAG